CATCCACCAGCAGCTCAAGCTTCACAAGAATCCCAAAAAGAGATCGCACATCGCCGGAGAAGGGAGAGCCATCATCAAAGCGCTCCGGTAAGTTCTCAAACCCCAATTCAAAACCATAGCTTTGAAAATGCCAGCTCCATTCNCCGGATTACAAGTATGCTATTTTGGGTATCACCGCAAAATTAAAGTTTTGCCGAACTTTCAGATTTTTTTTTCTTCAGAAATTCCAGATTTTTCGATTGTATGATCTGTCGATTTCTGGTACCTGACCGAAAAAGTTCAAAATTTCGAAAAAATATGTATAGTTTCAGGTCAAAGAAGCGTGTTGCATTTAGGTGCGATGAGCGGAAAAGTCATATAAAATCGTCACGTACACAGTTGGTTTTTTTGGTTTTTCAAGACCACAAAAACGTTTAAAAATAAGGTCCCAAAACGAAAACTACAGTAACCTGGACAAAAAAAAATGAAATAATGCATTCCTGAAATTTCTTCCAAACTAATATTTAAGGAACATTTTCAAGCTCCGAGAAGACAAAAAATTTTGAAATTCCAGATTTTTCTCCACCTGCTCTTCCTCCAGGTCAAGCAGCTGATAATTCAAAAACTCCAGATCATCACATCACCTGAAAATATCAGTGGACCTGAAAAATGAAATCATTTGATCTGAAAAAAGGGGCGGGGATTAAAATGAGTGGGTTTTTCAGGTCAACCCCCGAGGAGTCTCCAGCCGGTCTGACCGCTCAACTTAAAAAATTTTTATTTCATTATTTTTGCGAATAAAGCTACTGATAACAATATTGAAACCTATCAATTTCCCACTGTTTTTATTGTTTTATTTTCACTAAATTTTCCTCCAAATTCCCTCTATTTTCCCCTATTTTTGCCTGAATGTTTCCAATAAATTTCCCCCCACAGTAACCCGATTTCACGTGCCAAAAACGAATATAACAACTAAAAATATTTACAACAGGAGGGCTGCTCGCCGAGCACCTCACCTCCGGCTGTACAAATCTTCACACACTTTGACACCGGTGAAAAGTGGCAAATATTGGAAAAAATAGTTCGAAAAAACGAAACAAAAAAGGTGTCAAAAATCTCGGATTTGATGAAATTTACACCTTTTTCAACTGTTCGAAATTCAAATTTTTGAAATAAGAAATCTCGCTCTTTTGATAATTTCTTGGCTTTATCAGTAGAGCGCGATTTCTAAAGTTTGCTGCTACCTGAAAAAAACAGGAAAAAATGTCTAAAGTGGCGAATTCGAAGAAATTCAGATCAAAATTTTAGAGCTATTTAATGAATTTTTGGCTTTTTATCAGTAGAGCGCAACTTCTAAACTTTAAATTTTTGAAAAAAAAGCTAGATTTGGTGTGAAAAACCCGATTTTTTCGCAATAAAACTACAAAAAATTGTTTAAAAAACCGAGAAATAGCATCGAAAAACAAATTTTCCTGTACGAGGTGTAAGAGCGAGAGTTTTCTAGTCCGCGAACTTCAATGTTTTTTCTGAAAAAAATCTTCTGGAATCAAATCCTAAATTCGCGTACTAAAAAACTCCCGCTCTTCCATCAAATGCCTTTTCATTAAAAATTTTTTTCCGTAATTTTAATACGAATATTCGGTTTTTTAACACAAAATATATCATTTTTTTTAAATTAGCTAGAAATCATTTAGAAATTGCGCTCTACTGATAAACCAAAAAATTATCAGTGGAGCGAGTTTTTCTCTTTAAAATAGTTTTAAAATTTTGGTTTAAATTTCGTCGAATTCGAGATGAGATACTCTACCGAGAAAAAAAAGAGTCGAAAAGTTTGGTCTCGATTTTGTCGATTTTGAAATTTTTAACGTCTTTTTTCGATTCAATTCTCAAAAATCAGTAAACCTTAGAAATCGCGCTCTACTGATAAAACCCAAAAATTTTTAATAGATTGAGTTTTACTTATTAAAACATCCTGGTCTTGGTTTCCTCGAATTTTAGTTATCCGTCTTTTTTTGGCCTGGCCTTGGTCAACTATTGGGACAGGCAAGACTGAGCTGGGTTACTGTAGGCCAACAATCCAAGACCTTGTCCTAAACTTTTTTTAGCCATCTCTATTATCATTGTCTGGCATTTCATTATTTTGTCGTCCAAATCGAAAATCGGTCAAATATAAATTTTTGCACTTTCTCTAGATTTTGCGTGTTTTTCTTATTATTTATCTCATGACTATCGTGCCGCCTTCCTATATATCATCAGTCGACCGCTCAGCTACCGTAGCTCAGCTGGTAGCAACGTGGCACCTCCAAGATTTGTTACACATGTTCAACTCCGCGAAGGGCTTATACCAACGAATTTTCGAGATTTCTTATTTTTAATAAGTTTTGTAAAATTCAAAACTCCAACAACATCTCCTCCCACTCTTCAATTTTCCTTATCTAGATTCCGCGCATCGACCCACAAAAATTTCGAAAAATGTTTCTCAAAAATTTCAAACTTCTCCTCCCGTCCTTGTCCTCAATACCCCAACCTTTCCAAAAAAAAACTGCACAAAAAAGTTGTCTTAAAAGTCGGCGTCTCATTTGTTTCCGAAATTTAGCAGATAAGGATCTCGTACCGCGCCTCGCGCGAGGCGCCGGCGCATTTTTTTTCAGATAACTTTTTTTTATAAACTGAAAAAAAGTCGTCCTTCATTTTCGAGACAACGGGGATGGGGACGGGGAATTTGTTACGCCCTTTTTAGCGAGAAATTTTTACGAAAATGAATTTTTGTAACATTTCCCTCCTCCATTGTTTTGTTGAGGAGGCAAGCGTTTAGGATTACTGTAGGTTTAATTTACTAATAAAGTTTAGATTTTTACTTTTACAAGTTAAGGATGTATCTTGCAGCGAAAATACTAAAGCTTCAGTTTTCTTTTCAGGACTATTCTTTTTTATCATTCTGTCAGAGTAGTTACGGTATGCTGTTTTTTCAAAACCGCGTATCTTGCTTATTTTGGTTCGTACAAAAAAGTTGTCAACTACGAAAATAAAGCTCTATAATCGTTCAGTAAAGTCTGAAATTTTCAGGCAAATCGAAAAATTTTGGAGCACTTTTGTAGGATTTCAAAGTTGACAGCTTTCAGGCTGCAAATATTTTGTTCGGCGGAGCGCTATTGC